TGGGGATCCCCCAAAATGGTACCCCTCATTTTCGAAATCTCACGAACAACAACTGCATGCCCAAGCGATGGACGGCCACGGAATTTCCAAGCAGCATGCTGGCTGTAGATCTTTACTGCAAAGGTCAGCATTACCATCACCAGTGCAAAGTTGGTCTTAGTTGGTCTTACCATAGTCCAATTCGTTGTTGCTCTGTGCTCGTACATCACTTTTTGGTAAAGTTGCCTACAAACACTCGAAAGGCCACAGAGCGTGAGTCTCCGACTGCCCGTCGGCGTGGAGGCCTGCAGTTGACAGGCTGACGTCGCGGGGGAGTGCATAGCGAACCCCCCTCTGGAAGATTCCCCATCCTCCAAGGCGGCAGACGCAGAATTGCTATGGTGGTGGTGGTAGTAGTGGTAGTGGATTGGCGTGGTAGTGGTGATGGTTGCTGCCATGAGGTTGCAGCAAGCCATATTTTGAGCAGTATTCTGTAGGGAAGGGGGGGGGCTTGACGACTGAGGACGACGATGATAATGAGCATAAATAATGAGTCCACACATGTCTACAAGGCCCGGCCATGTTTTTCCTATTTGCACCGGCCGAAACATGCTAAGGCCAGCTCGCTGCTGCCGCAGTGGTGTGCGCAATGCGGGTGGCCGGCGGCACATTTGCCTGTGCCAGGGAGGCTGTATTTAGCTTGGGCTCTCAATTCCCAAATCCAGCAAAATTGTAAGGGTGCTGGGGCACAGGCATAAGCCACAACTCTGCGAGCGCCTCTGCAACCTCAATTGCAAACTGGAACGGTGGTTGTGGCTGAGGCTGGACCCCAGTGTCGACATTGTCCGGCAGAATGGCTGCATGTTCGCCGCTTTGCATGACTCTTTTGCGGACATGGTCTTTCAAGTCTAAACCAATTTGTGGGTCTTGCGAGCTTGTCCAAATAATGGCACGCTCATGTATCCGAGTCAGCAGCTTTGTGCAGAGGTTGAGCTGCTGCAAGTCGACCTCGGCACACAGAGAGCTTAGCTCATTGCAGGCTGCCAGCTACCGACAGCCACTTTCATCACGGTCTCGCGCGCCAGTATGCTATTGAGTCCCAGTGGCGCGTTTGACGGCAAGGCCGTGCTTGCCGAACCTAGGCCAAGCGAGTGCTTTTTTGGAGCAGCCCAACTTGAGCTGTTGAAATGCGTGCACTAGTTTTGCAAATGAGCTTCTGAGGCAGTTTGCAGCTAGGGACATTCCTTGCTTGCGCCATGACATAAGATTTTGGGGAGATATGTACCTAGCATGATTCACTTCTCGCTGCTACTGGAACTGCTGCAAGGCTGTGCTCATGACTAATGGTGACTCTGCATGACAGACCAACTCTTGGCCAACACGAAAGCGCTGAAGTCCCACCAAACCTAAAATTGAATAATGCAGAGTTGGACATTGAGAGTCACCATCGCTGTGCGGATGAGGCAGCCAATCACCAGCCCCACTCACTTCTCAGGTGCTGCGTAGTCCTTCAAGGACTTGACTTGGGTGGCCTGCACCTGCCCGTGTTCATGAAGGTTTAGGGTGTAGGGCTTTGAAAATGACATCCTTCATGCGCGGGGACGTGAAAGCCAAGGAGTTTAATACCCTAAACCCTAATCTGCCCACTTGTACTCGAGGCATCCAGGAGAAAACAAGGTGCCCCCCCTGTTGCAGGGGGCCCTATAAGGAGGAGTACCGTAAATTGCAGTCTATTTTCCGGGGCACCTATTCATGGAAACGAAGCCAGGGATAGATTGCAAATTCTGGTAGTTACTTTTGCTCTAATAATAGTAATACTAATAACCATAAGACTGATAATAACAATACAATAAAAAATGGAAATAATAGCAATGGTAATACCAATAATCATCAAAACAGTATATGTGCCATTGTCTAAACTCCTAGTATCCTCCTTAATAACCCCTTATAGTAGTCCCCTATATAACCCCCCATTTAAGGAGTTCAGACTATAGCTCATATAAGAAAGTGATGGCGGTCACCGCCTCGCTGGGCAAGGCTCAAACCACGATCTCGGTGGCGCCTCCACGTGCCCAGGTGGCCTTCACCAAGCTTAGGGTGCAGTTTTTAAGGAAAGAGGGTATAATAGGGTTTTAGGGTTTAGGGTCTTAGTTTTTTTTTTAAGGCGCCTCTTTTACCCACTAGCTGTTAGGTAAAGCTCAATTTGAGCAGGCGGGAACCGCCCCGTGGCAACCAGCTCGGAAAATCACTCGGCTCGCAACTCCTCCCTCGGGTCTTAGGGTTTAAGGTTTAGGGTTTAGAGTCAAGGCACACGTTAGCAGATTTTTCTGGATAGTGTCGCAGAGGAAGGGTATAGGAATCACAAAGTATTATGCGGGGAAATCCAGTGTTCGTTCCAGCAAGAACTTTTTTTGCAGTTGAGGCCCGTCACTGTGAGTTTGCAACTCAAGACGCAAAGTCCCTATTAGAGGTACCCCCCCCGACCCCCTAATTGGATGGTTAAGTCTTGGAACCATCCGTTTCTCCGAGGCACATCGCTGGACGAACCAACGACCTGGTCCTCGATGCCGCCCTCATTGGACCCACGCCTGTAGTATCCGTACTAATAGCAATGGTCATAGTGATGGCCAGAATACTAGATAATGCTCATAGTAACAGCAAGACGCAAGTGCACGGCTTGAATGTTCAACATCCGGGGCTTTGAGGGCTTGATTCTACGCGATTTTTTCAAGCGATCCCCACTATCTTACCCGTCTTAACCGATTAGCACTCTTCGTGAATGTCAGAATTCGAAGTGCAGCTCGCGCCTGATGCGGAAAAACCCTTTCTCTCCCCAATACGGGTTCCAGCTGTTGGCAACCTGCAAGGCATGGGATTGCAGGAAGTGCGCGCTTTCAATGCACATGCTGTCTCATGCTCTGGCATTGGTATTTCTCAAAGTTGAGGTCCCTCGGCTCTACTTCAAAATGGCTGAATTCTCATTCTAGGTACTTCGAGAAAGCGCCCCACATTTTTGAGATATTTTGAGAAACTCACACATGCTGTGCCGCTTCGTGGATGGCGCGGAGCCTTCCAGTACTTCACGCCGCCATCGACTCCCCATCCCACCTCAGCAGCTCTCACTTGGAGGCCTTCCAGAATAGCTTCACGCTTTGGGAGAGCGTCTGCATCCCCTAGCTGTCTCCTACCTCGTTGGGGGTATCGGTCCCCCCGACCAAGGCCCCTGCCTAAGCATTCGCTCTTTGATGTGTTTGGACATCGTTGCTGCTAGGATTTCTACAAAGGTTGTTCTCAGGGTGCTTGGACTCCTCATGTTTCGGATCATCCTTAAGGGTTTAGGGTTTAAGGGTCCCTGAGCACATGGCATGGTTCAGGAATAGCATGCGGGAAATTGTTCATCAGCTCTGGGACCTACAACACATGGGAGTTTCCATAGATAAGCCACCGCACATATACGCTGAGCAACACAAGCTTGATTCTAGGCTATATCAGAAGGCGCCCCTAGTTTCGGAAAACCCAGATTGCTCGTGCAGCTGCTGGCACCATGCGCACGGCATGTCCACCAGCCATTTCACCAGTGACGTGGTGGTAGATCCTGATGTCGAGGTTTCCAAAAACGGGGCGGGGGGGATAGAGTTCCACGAAAACCTAATGGCTTGGCCAGTTGTGGATTTCAGTGAGTAAGGTTTCCAAAAATCAGATCTCCAGTTTGGAGGTCGTTATGATGAGAATTAACATATACCAGCGGATAATACTAGGGGACCCCTATTTGGAAATGAGCAGCAGCGATTCTGGTAGCAACAGACATGCATACGTGATAGAAAAATGGGATGATACCAATGAGGCACGCAGGTTTTTGGTTGATGTACGTTTCTCATGCGCTTGGCAAAGTCGGCTGGCGTGTCCAGATAGGTGGGGGCTCCAAATAGCGTGCCTTGTAATCTTACGGAAGTCAGGGATATGCTTGTGCGTAGGGGTCCTCCTATCCAATCTGTAGGGACTGTTTTTCCGAAAGTCCGAATCACATCACCCCCCTAAACCCTAAACCCCCTAAACCCTAAACCCTAAACCCCCTAAACCCTAAACCCTACATTTTCAGACAAAGCAACCCGTGGCTGTAGAGCTCGAAGTCCGAGTACACCTCATTCACATGGCCGGGCTTCTTCCGTATGCCCTGCTAACAAACACTTGGAGGGTATATACCTACAGGGTTCCAGAGGGTTATATAGGGTTTGGGGTTGGGGAACATACGATTATATGAGCAATAGTCTAAACGCCTAGTAACCCCCCTAAAAACCAAAACAATGTAGGGCTTGGGGGGGTCCAAACTCCTAACATCCCCCTTAATAACCCCTATGGTAGTTCCCTATGTAATCCGCTATATAACCCCTAGAAGGAGTTTAGACTATAGCTCACATGGCCGGGCTTCTTTGGTATCTCTACCAACTAGCACTTAGCAGTAAGTCGTCGGCTGTGAAAGCAGTCTCGACGGGTCCGCCACTCATGATCATCTGCTGGATGGCCTGCATGGACGGCATGGGCACGCATTTAGTAAACATGTCACCACTGCATTCGTCCAGCTACATTGATGTAGACATGTGTAGCCTATAACCTGCGCATGCAATTGACCTTCTCGCCAGATGCCGTCTGTGTCTTGCCCTTGTAGTAGTACTTGTCCTTTCAGGGCATGCGCAGCAGCTGCGATCTCACCAACTGCTCTGAGCACTTCCTGCCTGCTGCACAAAGGCTGTTCATGAGCATGGGTTGCTTACCAGAAATATGTACAGCTTTATCGACTTTGTCAGGTCGTACCCAGCAGTGATTCATCTAGAACTGTACTTGCGGTTCTTTGGTTGCTCTGTCAACTGCATGCGAATCATTGCGATTTGGCACAGCAGCTATAATGACCCGATTCATGACATTTTCGGCTGCTTGCGTTGAGGAAGGAAGTAGTACGATCGCTGTAACCATTGCCATAATTCATTTCCTCTTCCTAGTAATTAACCCCCTCCCCCTCATCATACATCCCCTCAATGTAGAAGAGATTGTTACTAGATGCCTATAACTTTTATCACCATCTTAATATCATTATTACTCCTAGTATTGATAGTATTACTACAATTAATGTTACTACTCGATGCCCCGCCCATTGTCCTCCTTGAAGTTGTTGTGAGGCGCCTTAGCGCTGGCATCGCACTGCGTCGGCCCAGCTGGCGAGTCCTTCAGGGCGAGCTATGGACGTCCTGGAATTTTTACAATACATGTAACTTACCGGGAGTTAGTAGGGAATGAAGGATTCTAATGTTTAGGGGTTAAACCTTTTGTCATTCCAGGTCTCTCTCCAAAAACTGCTGGGGGCCACACCGAAACGTCGACAGTGCGGATGTCAGGATTCAGGCATCACGAAAAAGCAATTAACAGACAGTGCTCAGCAAAACCTTCAACCCTGAACCTTAAATCTCAAACCTGAGGCCCTAAACCCTAAACCTTAAACCCAAAACACTGGTAGCCCCAATTGCGTCCTCACTTGGGCAGCCAGGCTTGCCTTCGGCGGGGTAGGGGTCCTCCAGCAAACGGGGTCTGGGTTGCTGTTACGGAACTTAAATAAGGGGTATATGTATATAACATGGATATAGGGAGATTTAGGATTTAGGGCTAAGGAATTTTAAATACGGGATACATGTATGGATATATAGGGAGGTTTAGGGTTTGGGGCAAAGTAACTTGAATAAGGTGTAGATGGGGATATGTAGGGATATTTTTCTCTGTGCCATCTCTGACGTCCGAGCAATTGAGCGCAACACCACATATAAGGTTTAGGGTTAAGTTGCCATATAAGCTATAGTCTAAACTCCTAGTATCCCCTTAATAACCCCTATAATAGTCCCCTATATAACCCCCTCTTTAAGGAGTTTAGACTATAGCTCATATAACCGAGGACTTGCAGAACCTCTGCCTCCGCCCCTGACTACTCATGGTCGCCCTGGGACTATTTTCAATTGAAATCACTTTTTGGGGTGAGGCTTGTTTAGTTTGCCCAGGTATTGCCTAGACTTGCATCTCAACAGGATCATCCCACATCAGGGTTTAGGGTTTTGGGTTTAGGGGATCAAACCCTCAAAGCACAATTTGTCGGTCGGCCTGGTAGAATCAGAGACATCGAGACAAACTACTAACCACCTCCGCTAATAACAACCCATCCAACCCCTAAACACTCCCCAACATAATATGATGGTACCATATTGGGGTTGTATGGGGTATGGATTAGCAGGGGTGATTATGAGGGGAGGGGTTACCATAAACCCTTTTGCCTAAAGCCCTATAAAATCCCAAACCCTAAGACCCTGTAATAAAACCCTAAACCCCAAAACCCTATAAAATCCTATCAAACCCTATAAATTCCTAAGCCAAAAGCCCTGAAGCCCAGAACTGCCTGACCCTGTGGGCCATGGTGGTGGCAGTGCGGCAGGGAGAAATCACTGCAAAGGCCCGCGCCGAACGGGCCGGTTCCTGGCCACCCCCAGTGAGTAGTGTTTTTTGGTGGTTGAACCCAGTAAGATAATATTCCTTATATCAAATACTATACCCCAAAAGGAGGATATAATCTTACTCTATATTGGGTACCATAGTATCCCCAACTCAAAAACTACTCAAGTGTTTAAGGCCCTATATTGTTCACAGCACCATCGTTCAGAACTCCATAGGGGTTATATGTAGGGGTTACATTGGGATTATGGGGTATATATTAGGGTTATATGGTTTAAGGATTCAGGGTTTAGGTCTAAGGTCCTATATCATGGTTTAGAGCAATAATGGAGTGACATAGAGTTGTATAGGGGTTATACAATTATATGGTAGTTTCCCAAAATAAGGGGACCCCAATATAGACCCCAAAATACTATAGTTCTTATTATAGGCACCCCCAACCCTAGACCCTAAACCCTAAACCCTAATTTTGGGAAACCCCCATATAGGGTTCCTAGCAACCCCAAGTCGTAGGTACACAGGGGATACATTTAAACATATGAGCTTTGGTCTAAACTCCTAGTATCCCCCTTAACATCCCTAATAGTAGACCCCTATATAATCCCCATATAACCCCCTTTAAGGAGTTTAGACTATGGCTCATATGTTCACGATTACAGGGTTTCAGTCCTCATTTCTTGAACATTTGCTGGGCAAAAGGCTGCTCACGGCTTTGTCATCTTCGTAGGGTAGGGTGGTCAGGTGCCTAGGCCTGAGAGATAATGTACTATAATATGCTATAATAGAACTCCTTCAAGGGGGTTATATCTATTTTGTGGGATCTTAGGCGTTGTTGCAAGGTTAATATGGCATGAGTCTACAGCTTGACACTGCCGGGAGGAACTCCTCATCAGGAACTTTCACTCCTGCCCAACAGAACCCACTTCATATTCACTTTTACCCCTACCATAAACCCCTAAACCCTGTACCACCTGGAATCCCTGCATGTTGGGCCTTTGTACTGGCCGCCACTGACAGCACCAGTATCCTGAAGGGCTTCAGTTTCAATCATGGGAAGCGCACGCAAGCAATATGTCCAAGCCAAAGCATGCCTCATGAGCTATAGTCTAAACTCCTAGTATCGCCCTTAATGACCCCTATAATAGTCCCCTATATGATCGCCTATATGAACCTTAAGGAGTTTAGACTATAGCTCACATGCAGGCCTATCTGCCATGTCGTGCCTACTGTATGCCAGGCCAGAGTCGGCTGATATCCCTGTCTCATCCCTGCATGAATTGCCGTCTGCAAAGCAGCAAGGACTCCTTGATGTACTGCCAAGGCGTGTCAATCTCGCCACCATCGCAACCATCAGGGTTGGCATTGAAGCACACATCCTGTGAAGACCGAACTTGCATAGTAGCAGCAAATACAACAGTAGGGGAACCCATAAACTGTTCAGGGTTGTCCTTTAAGCCCTTTGAAAATTATTTACTAGTAGGGTTCTCTACAAAATCATAGGGGAAACTAAGAAAGGTCCCAAAGGACAACCCAGTGTTTAGGTTTTTTTACATGACTTCACTTTGCTCCTGGGCCGAGATGGGAATCATCGTCTTGCCCTTTGTGGAGATGCACATGCCTCAGGTTTAGCGCAATTTTTGGTTACTGTAATCTAGATATTCCAATAAGGTCCTTATCACGGAGATTTTTTTTAAGCGGGACCCACAATGCGGGCCTGTCCCATCTAGAAACATTCCCCAAAATCTATTGTGATAATTATTCTTATTGAAAACTCCCTGCCATGGTATCATGATACAATAACAACGAGCACTTGATGTGGGGTCGGTGTGTTTACGGTGGGAAGATGGGGGACTAATCTTATAACCTTCAGGTTGCGAACCGTGCGGCTGCACACAAAGAAAGCTTGCTGGGTTACTACCTGAAGTGGAGACCGTGCCAATCTTGGTCCCTCCCTGCCCATCCTGAAACTCCAAAGCCTACAGTCCCCCTTAAATAGATAGAATGTGGCTTTGGGGTATATTATAATAAGATCCCCATACACCCCCCACCCCCTATCTACTTCAGGGGGATTATAAACCCCTGAACCTTGCCAAGCAGCGGTCAGAAGCGGCCTCCGCACCTGCGAAAGCCCAGCAGCATCCGCAGTTCGACTGGTCGCGAATGTCCTTGGCCACCACCAAACCCAGCAAAACAGTCCGCATCCCCCACCCTATGAAAGCTTCATCTGCAGCCACCGTCCCAATCATCTGAGCTCGGCACGTTGATGATCTTCTCGCACTCTGGCCACTGCGCTGCAGAGTCGAAGTCCTGTGCATGGCACCAGCTTGCATGTAGGCAGTGTGCATTTCACACACTTTGATCTGCATTGCCCATGAACGCTGAGTACTGAGGCTCCACAGCTGATTTGATGTTATGATCTGAATCATGTAGAATGAATTTTGCATGAGGCTCCTCTGGCACGTCGCCGTCCGTCACAGCAAAACGCTCGATGTCCCCCCGCTTGATTGCCGACTCGATCGTGGTTGTCATGTTACCTCTCAGGAGGTTGGGCTTTCGCCCTCCAGCAAGCTTGCCGAGTTGGCGTGGTACAATGGGAAGCAATTCCATGCCGGCACTGCTGTTGCCTCTGCCACTGGTACCATATTAACATATATCTACAACACTTCCCACTGCCGCTGCTCCTCAAAGAGAAATGGATAACAACGATAAAGCAAAACACCAAAGAAGATGATCAGATCAAGAACTACTTTCTGGCGTATATAGGGATTACATTTCCTTATTCCACTTATTCCCTACCAACCCCAGTAAGTTTCAGGGTTGCAGCTGCTTCGCTCGTTAGAGCTCCCCGGCCTTTCACGCCCATCAGTCTCTTCGAGGCTCCAGGCGCCTCCGTGGCAAAACGTTCCACGGCACCAGGGGTCCAGGCGACTCCTGTGTTTGTGAGACGGGGAGACGGGTGCCGTTTCAACGTTTTCTCGAGCTATTCTGAGGAAGTGAAAGGAACATGTGTTAAGGTACCGGATCCTCTTAGGATCGTGCTGAGAAGGTCATTACTGCCGGAAAGAAGCACAATGCACGTCGGAGGAGTCCGCGGGAAGTGTGATTTGCGACATGTGAGGTTTCTCAAGGTAGCTGGCCCCAATGGATACATATTTATATATATATATATGTATCTATAGAGGGAAAGATTCTGAGGAGATTGTAGGGTCTCCCTTTTAACCATGATGTCGGGCCCAGGAATATGAAGCCACATGAAAGACATCCTATTCAGCTTCCACGCAACCTCATGTGCTTAGAGCCTCCTGAACCCTAAGCCCTTAGACCCTTAAGCCCTAGACCGCAAAACCCTTGAACTCAACACTTCATAACCTCAACCGTAAATAGTAGTTTCCACTTTCTTTTCCGATATCCCTGTAAAACCTCTAGTTAACCTCTTGAATCCTTAGACCTCAGACAAACCTGGCGTATTCAGGATCTCGGTGATCATGGCTGCCCGCTCCGGGTGTACCTGCGCAGACAACACATGAGCTATAGTCTAAACTCCTTAAAGGGGGTTGTATAGGGGATCATACAGGGGTTGACTACAGGAGTCATCAAAGGGGATACTAGGAATTCACACGATAGCTCTCAGCATGAATCGCTGGGATGTGGGGTGCCAGGGTCGGCAGCAAGTATGGCCAGCCCCGTTTCTGCAGCAATGGCCAGTAGAAAGCACTAGTGATAGAGAATGGTTGATCTCAGACCCAAAAACACAGCATCAATCTCTGTGGATCGTATCACAAATGTTAATTATTCTCTGCAACTACACTGACTGTATTCGATTAAGTCGTCTACAAAAAATGGCTTCCTTCATTGCGGCATACTCGGGCTAAACGAGTGAATGCGAGTCATTGTTTGCGGCATCCTTTTCACCCCGTAGAATCTCCCCTGCCCTTCTGAGAGACCGCAACTTTCGTATTCCTTGCTCAGTCCTTCAATGCAATTCTTTCCGCAACAGCTTTACTCCGCGGACAACTACACCTCCACAGCAACCAGCAGCACACCAGCACCAACATTATAGCTACTGCCCTTATTGCTCATCCTCCTGGTGCTGCCATCACCATCAGATCAGGAATAACTACTCTGACAACCACCCATACTACCCATTATGGTAGTTTCCATTTTCTTTTCCATTATCTCCCATATGAGCTGTAGTCTAAACTCCTAGTATCCCCCTTAATATACCCTTATAGTAGTCCCCTATATAATCCCCTATATAACCCCAATTGAGGAGTTTAGACTATAGCTCATATAACCTCAATATAACCCTAACATGAAGAACCCGTCTCTGAGCAAACCAAGCCTCCAAAGAGGCAACACCCAAGAGGCCAAGACCAAAATGCACCGCGCGGTACATGGCCTCAGATCATGTGATCCCTGATCTGGGGCTTCAAGCTCATGAGCTGCTCCTTTGGGTTAAAACTATAAGCCCCTAGTGTGGGCCCTTAACCCTAGGATCCGTATTTACCTATGATATACCCTTTTTGTACCCTTAAGGGCCCTTAGAACCCGGCTTTGGGGCCCATATTTTAGACTTTGGGTTGTACCAGGGGTTTAGGGTTTTGGACGGTCTCTGTCAAGCCATGCGACAGGTGCGCAAGCGCAGCATACCACATTTTTACTCACAATTCCAAGGAGAAAACATCTGGGTCCATACTCTAGACAAAGCATGGTGGTTGGCTGGCTCCATACAAGCATTTCGCCCCACCAGTATCGCACAGAAGCACAATAGGAGCAATGCAAACAAGAGCCCCAACTCTCACAGTGGTAACATGAAGTTCCCCAAAGTGCCACGTGATATAGTCTCCCTTAAGTAGCTAGAATGTGGTCTATATGAGGATCTTATTATAATATACCCCAAAACCATATTCTTGTGTATAAATCAATCTTGTCTCACCTTCGACGAACATGACTTCTGTCCGCTTTGACCCCAAAGCCATATTCTATCTACTTAATGGGGACTATAGCCCTTGTTGCAACAAGCACCTTGTCTTGAGGAGCAGACGAATCACGAGGCCGGAAACTATTTGCTGCGCTAAGCTTGTGCCAGAGTCTACGTTCTGCGCGAAAACACAGAGATACGGCATGGTGCTCACCATGTGGCGAGTCTAACTCCCAAAAAAGGGGGTTTCTAGGGGCTATATAGGGATAATGGAAAAGAACATGGAAACTACTATTTAGGGTTTAGGGGTTTCCCGAAATTAGGGGTACCCTTTTGGAATTTCCCAATAATAAGGACTACAGTATTTTGGGGATTGGGGGTGTCTTTTCTGGGGTCCCCCTATTTTGGGAAACTACCATGTGGTGAGTCATTGTGGGCCTTCTCATGGTGAGGCGTGCTTCCTGATCACCACTTGTAGCAAATTCGGGTCAAGGCATCATGTAGAAAGCTTGGCACAAAAGCTAAGTTTGGCAGATGCCCATGCTCCGCAATGACTATAATATACTGCAATATCCCATAATATACTACAACATACTTATAATATACTACAGTACACTGTAATATAGCACAATGTACTATAACACACTGCAATGCCCTATATTACTTTGATATACTGCAATATACTAAAGTCTACTTTAGTATACCCTAATATAGGAAGTCAATGGTGCGCTGCCCTGGCATCCATCTGAGGATCTGTGCTTGCGAGCCTCCACTGAGTCGGTGATCCTTGCATGGCTATGTGAGCTATAGTCTAAACTCCTAGAATCCCGTTTAATAACCGGTATAGTAGTCCCTATGTACTCCTCGAACCCTGATTAATCCCGTCCCGTAACTAATTATGAGCCCCACCCACCCTAATAGGTTAATGGGGGTGTTGGGGGTTCATGATCGGGGGAGAATTATATTTAGGAATAATGGTAACGAACGCGAGGCAAAACCCTGTACATTTTCAATGCATGTTAGCTCTCATCATCTTAACGCATGGCACATTCAGCTGGCCACATCTGGTATGGCCCCAAAATGCTGGACCCCATATCTCAGCCTTAAAACCTCTCTAACATCAAAAACTCTACATGGAAGTTAAGTTTTGAGGCATCATACATTATTCTGGTGGTTCTACACCACTGCCAGGAATAACGGTTGTAAAGCAACGACTTGTTAGCTTGGAAATTTTGAGTAGGGGGGCAAAGGAAGATGATGTGGAGTTGCGTTCAGACAGGCCTATGCCACTCTTCAACTTTTGCAGCCATAAGACGCTAACCCCTGCCTTGTTTCATCTGGGAGCTAGGTGAGAGCTTTTCAACATGAGCCCTGCATTACTCTAGGGTACTCCTGTTCTGAGGCCTCCTCAAGTAGGTATACTACAGCTTCAACCTACAGGTACAAACAGCAATCGGGCGCCACCGAGCACACCACAGCACATCCCTGCGGCGCTTATATGACTGAAAACCACCACTGTGCGATTAAACCCTAAACCCTAAACCCTGGGTTTAGGGTTTAGGGGTTTAGGGTTTAACGGAACTTTGAGGTGGGGAGTTACCAGGTGGGTACCCTTTTACATAAGGCATATATGGGGAGCCTAAGGGTATCTATGAGGGCTATGTAAGGTTATATGGGGGGAACGACTCACCTGAACATGCCTTTGAGTTCAAGGTCTTCGACAGCACCCGAAGCACACCTTGATTATCTCCCCCCCACCCCCACACCTAACAACAAGCAACACGATGACCCCATATCACGAGGGAAATATCTATCATTAGGGGGTTGGGTGGGTTTGCCCTTGAGAACAGGCACCCCCCAGAGCATGTAACTGCCTGCAAGAGTGTTACACAACAATGCTTTCTCAAGCTCTCAACGTACAAAATCAAATTGAACGTCCTTTTGGACAGGTATGTCCGGAAGTGACTGCTCTACGTCATGTCAAGGGACATAGATTCTGAGGACAATCTATATATCACTAGTGTTTCATCACATGTGTCTACGCTGCTGAAATGTGTGATGCGTCCTTTGCGAGGATCTGCCACCTTCACCTGAAACAAGAAGAACAATGCCCACGGACTGAAGGAGACATTGCAAGCAGTTACGACAAAGGTTGGCATTAGGATTGAAATGCCTCTGACCGTTAGAGGACAAGATTTTCTCCCCAGAATGGGCCACAACAGTCTCCTGGAAGTACTAGTGGCGTTTTTTGCTGTAGCAGCAACAACAACAAAACAACATTCATGCTGTCGGGCAAGTTCTTGATTCTTGCTAGAGCTGTTGCTGCTACTGCGGTCATCTTGGCCAAGGTTCGCAAATTCGTGTATACTGCTGCAGCAAGTATCGCATGAGCTCCGGCATTCAGACAGCCCTGTTCATTTTATGACAGTCTTCGCTGCAATTTGGTAAAGCTGAAAAGCCGCTCTACAACGATGGATACTTCTCGAACATCAAGAACTCCAGAAAATTACATGAATCCTGCTCAAATTCGGGGTGTCATGCCCCAAGCCCTCTCTCTCTCTCTCTCT